CAGGATCATGACCTGAGCCGAAGGCAGTCACTTAACCAACTGAGCCACCCAGGCGCCCGAGACAGCTGTTTCTTAGATATTTCTTTGGAAAACTTTTTCTTCATTAGCAGTTTTATTTGACTTTCCAAAGCTCGTGAGTTGGTAGCGTTTTGTGCTCTTTTCAAAATGGAAACCCCAAATTGTATTTTTTTTTTTTAAAAGAACTGAAGAGGACTCAATATACAGGGTAATTTTGAACACAAAAATTGCTTGAGCGTTAAGTTACCTGCTCTTATCTCTTAACTCTGTTTAATAGGTTTCTGCCAAAAGTATTTTTTCTCCCATGAGTAAGCTGTTTTATTTAACCTCCTCAGCTTTGTCTGAATGTGCTGAGTTGCTGATTCTCTCCATGCATTTGCTGCACGTGACCTGATTTGAGCCTCCTCTTTGTGTATTGCTTCGCATGTGATCTTAACCCACTCAAAGATGCCACTGGCTTATGTTGCAGTTCTCAGCTCTTTTCTTGTTGGTTTAAAGATATTTGTGTATAAATGCCAGTAAAATGCCATTCCTAAAATTTGATCTCCTTTTAATAAAATGGAAGGCAGTTGAGTCAAAAAAGTTTTGAAAAACTGAAAAATATGCACGATGTGATAATGCACATTTCTTGATTTTTCTTCCCTTTCCTTTCTCAGGTACAAAAACATTCCACAGATGTCCTTTGATGATACAGACAGGGAACCAGATCAGACCTTTAGTCTGAATCGGGATCTTACGGGAGAATTAGAGTATGCTACAAAGTAAGCACTTGGCCTGTCTCCACTCTCTGGCTTCTGAGGAACAGCAGGTGTTCACTTGCAGTGAACATACATGCGTTAGCACTTCCTGAGCTTGCAATTCAATTTTGGCCCATTTCCTGCTTTCTTAGCATGAGAAACAAGTTAAAACAGTGGAGGAAACTTGATCCTTGGCTTGGTCAATTTTGGGCAGAGATGCAGTGCAAGCCATGGACTTGTTAAACTTGTAAGCAGTTGACAGATCTGAGTGATCTCCTAGGATGGTCTTAGGAAAGAGGTTTTCAGAATTCCTCTTTGCGTAGTGGGCTTACAATAGGCCACATTACCCAAGACCACCTTATGTCTTCACTGGTTCTTTTTCCTAATGGTAAGGTTGGTGAGATCAACACCGAACTTGTGTTAGAATCCCTGCCTGGTCATACAGCATTTCTCATTCTTGCTCCTTGAGGGCAGGGCAGTGTTGACTCATTTTTCTATTCCTGTTGCCTGGAGCAGGACCTGGCAGATGCTCATGCAGTTTCCACTGAATCAATTCTTGTGCGAAAGAGAAGAATGATACATAAGAGTCCAGAATGTTCTCTGACATTTACCTGGGTTTTACCACAAGTTGGAGCTAGAATTGTTGTTTTTGTCCTGGTGGTGAGATATTCATTGAACTCTAACCTGTGTCTTCTCTCCCCATTCCTTTCATTCTCTAGAATTTCTCGTTTTTCAAACGTCTATCATCTCTCAATCCATATTTCAAAAAACTTCGGAGCTGATACCACAAAGGTCTTGTATATTGGTCTGAGAGGAGAGTGGACTGAGGTAAGAAGGGGCAGAAAGCATGACCAACCCCCCCCCCCCGTGCACATATATGTGTGTATACGTCTGTATGCTGTGATATGGGCACTCCGAGGAAAGGAAAAAAGAGCAAGTGAGATACTACTTTCAGTCTGTGTATAATTTTTCTTGGTTTCATTACTGTAAACAGTCCATTTCTTTTGACAGGCTGTAGGTATTTTTAAGGGAGTTGAAATAATACAGTTGATAATTCATTTCTTTCACTTGGAGATTCTTTTCTTCATTTGACATTTTTGATAACTGTTCTTGTTCCAGGCACCCAGAGATAAGATAATAAACAAGATAGATAAGGTCCTCTTTTCGTGGTGGTGCCATAATAGTGGGGGAATGAATCTTTTAAGTTATGGGGTGAATCATTGCTAATGATCTTTGCAGTCTTACTAGGATAAAAGTGTCAAAAGGGGGAAGAGATGACTTCCAGAAATGAACCTGAATAAGGACTACTCCAGTGTGTGGTCTGGGAAATGGCCAGCTGACCCAGCCTCTCACTTTTCTTGCAGCTTCGCCGACATGAGGTGACCATCTGCAATTATGAAGCATCAGCCAACCCAGCAGACCACAGGGTCCATCAGGTTACCCCACAGACACACTTCATTTCCTAAGACTGGCCAGGGCTCCCACAGAGGCGCTGTGTCGGTGAAGATGTACAGCATCCTGTTGGGGAAGACAAAGAGATAGGGTTCCAGAGAGAGTTGGTGCCACAGCCTCTGCCAAGCTTTGTCTTTGGGGCTTGCTGCAGAAACCTGGCCTATGGAAGATACCACACCACCAGGGAGGGTAGTGTGGGTGCTGAGGGACAATCGTGGTTCTCTAGGGCCTAGAAATTGAGTTTTGGGCTGGGCAGCATCTGGCAGTCATTGGATAATGTCTGCCTTTCCAGTCAGCGTGGCCATGGGATCCCAAGTGTCTTGTTGCTTTGTGGCAGGATTTTTGTGTGACTTTTTTTTTTTAAACGGAAACCATTTCCTGGGCTGCAGTAAACTTTCTGAAGCCTCAGCATTGTGTTTCTATTAGCCATCAGGAGGGTCTCCAACTAGAAATACTTGTCCCTGCTTGCTCCTTCTTCCTGTCAGCGTTCAGCATTCTTGTCAAGTTGCCCAGCTTGGAGTTGTCTGTCATGTACTAGTGTCCCGTGGTTATAGCTAGAAGAGCAGGAATCTCCTGATGATGCCTACTAGCTTGAGGAGCTCTTTTTTTCTTACTGCCTAGGTAAGCAGTCTGGGGAGAGCATGGGCATTTCTGTGTTTGTGAGTTATCCTGGTTGGATAAGAGTGGGACTTAGGTAAGATTCCCCTTGGGACATCCTTAATGTTTATTAGCTTCTAACTAGTGTCGTAAGCGCAATGCCAGAAATTGGAGATCTCAGTTCTTCTGTTCATGGCTTTTTATTCACCGTACCTAATAAGCTTCCTAATAAATCTTTGCCAGACTTAATGTTTGTATATTCTTTTGATTTCTTGGTAGTACTGATGAAACTTTTACTTTACTGGGAAGTAGTATGGAGATTTTGAAATTTGTTGTTGTTGTTTTGTACTAGGTAGGTCATAGTGCCACAGTGATATTTAAGACTAGATTATTTTCTTCAGGAAGGGTACATTGGACTAAAAACACTCCTACAGCCACCCACCCACACTTTGTAAAAAGGAAGGTGAGGTTACAAACCGATGTTCCATTTCTCATGAGAGGAAGTAACGTTTACAAAGTGGAGGGACATTTACAAAACAAGGGAGAACAGATTCCGGAGCTCACCAGAAGAAATGAGAGCAAGGAAAGTAAGTGAGCAGCACATGTGGACCCAAGACTGGACTTAAATTTTGTAAGTCAAGACAGCAACTGGAGACAATTTAAGTATCTAAAATGAGGGGATTTGAGATGGTCAGTATTCTCTCCTTTGCAGAAATAGAAACAGTGAATAATGGGAATTAGTGTCGAATCTCATCCTCTTGAAAGACTTCCTCTGAAGTGTTGGCCCACACTTTCTCCAGCCTGTCCAAGGGAAAGCGTGCCACCGCCAAGCTTTGCCAAGCCTCAAGATTTCTAAAATGTAACTGGAAATCAACCAGAGTGCAAACGCAATTCTTGATGCACTAAAGGTCCTACTCCTCAGCCACAGCCTCTTTATTTCAGTTGGATCATTTTGGAGATTAAAGGCTGTTTTAAAATTTGGAGTAGGAGGAAAAATAAAGTTAGAAATCTTAGAGCAGACTATCCCTTCACTAGTTCCACTAATTAAAGCCTAATCACAGGCAGGCCCTGGGACTGGGCTTCTGAATTTGAAGCTTCACTCTGAAGAATTTGTTCAAGAACTTGAAGAAGTGCCCCAGGGTCCCAGGGGATTGGGGGTGCAGGAGGAATTGTTTACTCTTCTATAAGCAGACCTAGCAGGGCTCCTGGGGCGGTGGCTGGCAATTATGTGGTCTGGGCACACTCATCCCTTTCTGACATCCAGTCTGGTTCTTTGGCTTGTTGCAGTCCTCAGGACTCAAAAGATTCCCTGTTCAGAATTCTGGTATTTTAGGCTCTGTCTTTGTGACCTGTTGAGCACTTAAGACAAACTGCCTCTCAGCCTGGAAAGGTGCTTGGAGTTCCCAAGTTTACTGTTTTCTTTCAGTTCAAAGAAAACTGTAGGTAGCAGCATCACTCATTTCCTGTTTGTAGATGCCCACATAGTCCTTCAACTCAGTTTGCTTCCCCTGCCAGCCTTTCTGTGGACCCGGAACCCATTTCCACTTTATCAGCGTGGCAAGGAGGAAAATGGGGACAAAATGCAGGCCTTTTTGTTCTTAACAAACTGGAGCTCATTGATGGTATTCTGTTCACTGTCCACATGGCATTGCTTGTTGAGGGCAGAGCTAAGACAACACTGCCTGTCCAGCTGTCCTGCTGTGACCTGTGTTGTTTTCCCAGGTACTTTTTAGTCATTAAGTCCTCACACTAATTTTTCAGTGTATAAAGCATTTCCATACGACCTCTTTTGAGTCTAACAGCAAAGCTGTGAAGTAGGCAGGGTGGTGTTTATCACCGTGTTATAGCTCAGGAAGCCGATGCAGAGAGGCGGCATTACAGTGTCATCCTGAGATTGCTGTTTCCTTCCCCTCCCTGAGCGTCTGTTTCCTCATCTTTAGAATAAGACGAGAACTGGATGGTCTCTAAGGATGTCTTCAGTGTATGATCCATCCGAAACTGCTAGTGTGAGGGGTGCCTCTCCTTCCGGATAGCTTTCCTTTAGGAGGCGCATGGGTGTTGGTAGCAGGCGGGAATTACCGACGCGCTGTCTAGATTCTGCAGGTGACTCCGTGGCTTCATTACGGGGAGTGGCCCCACCGTACCCAACATGGCAGCTCCTATCTGGCGGATCGCCGACGCCCACTTCCGGGTTCCGTACCGCTGGCCAGGCTACTTCCGGCAGCGCGATGGCTGGGTTCCCGGGACTCAAACGGAAGTTCCGGCGGGGGCGGCCGAGGGGGAAGAGTGTGTGTCTGTGCAGGAGAAAGAGGAGAATCGCCCGAGAGGTCTCGAAACCCGCAGGGAGTAGAGGTACCCTCGTCTGGGACCAGCCGGCGGAGGGAGGGTACCGGGCGGGGGGAGGAGAGGCCGGACCTCCGCGGGGGTCCCGGCGAGTGGGGAGGGGACCGCAGTTGTGAGGGATGGGGGCGGGGAGTGAGGTGCGAAGAGGCGCTGGCCGGTCTTGGGGACTTTGGGGGTAGAGTGGGGCAGGAAGGCGTCCGGCTGTGATTGGAGGGACTTAGAGTCGGAAGTGGAAGATCCCATTGTGGGGCTGGGGCTCCCCGGGGTCAAAAGTAGAACGCCTCTTTGTGGGCAGGAGAGAGGGTCCTGGCTCAGGGTAGAAAATGTCACAGTAGGCAGGGTGCGACTCTTGGTCAGGACAGACGTTCCTAGTGTGGAGAGTGGGAGACCCTGGGTTAGGGTGGAAGTAGTTACTCTGAGGAGCTTCCTTCCCTTGTTGGGGGAGGCATCACTTTGAGAGGGGGGACCTGGGATGAGAGATGGAAGTCTCCCAGCCAGGAAGGAAGGGAATCCCAGCTTAGGGCGAAAGATGTATCCCCGTGTGGGAAGAGGGACCCCGAGGTCAGAGGTGAGGGATCCCACGTGGAGAGGTGCACTCAGGGTCAGAGATGGAAGGTTGAAGCAGGTGGGGAGGGGGGTGGTGGGTGGGCACCACTCTGAAGGGTAGACGCTTAGGGGCAGGTGGCTTCTGGGGACTTGGGAGGATGCTAAGGATGGGGAGGAGCCAACCAGCCACGCATTCTTTTGTGTGTTCAGGAGTCCCAGAGCATGGTCAAACCGGGGGACCTGGTTGGATTCAGTAGGCACTAGCAGCAGCAGGTAGCCCCATTCAGTGGGGCGTGGGGCACAGTTACAGGGTGGGTAGTGGACCCGAGTCTGTGTGCCTTCTGGGGACATGGGCAGCCCCTGGGGGCTCAGGGAATGGCTGAGCCAGAAACTGCTTGTGAAGGCCGGGTGGGGGCTGGTTGTCGGGGGGGGGGGAGGTTGGAGAAAATGTGTGTGTGGGGGTGTTGGGGGTAGGGGCTAAAAGCATATTTTTCTGGCATTTTTCTCCCCTTCATTTCCCGGTGGGGCTGGGAGTTGGGGAGGAGGGAACCCGGGGCTCTATTAGAGGCACGATGATTGGAGAGCAGGGAGGAGGCAGTTAGTGGGGGGACGACAGCAGGGGATGCCCTGGCTCCCCTCCCCCACAGTCCCTAAGCCCTCTCTCTGCCCTTCTGGGTCTCCAGCAAGCTCAGGCTGTGTGGTGGGCCAGAACCAGGGACTGTGGTTTCAGCCCTGGAATGGAGGCAAACTTCCTCCCTGCTCTGGCCCGAGATGACTTGCCTGCCTTTTCTTGGTGCCCAGGACAGAACCGGGGTGTTATGGGGCGCTGACATTCTGAGTGGGCCCTCAGTTTGAGGCTCTTCTCCTGTGTCAGGAGTCTCTCCCCTGCCTGGTCTTGCTCTTGACCACTCCCCCAAATTTGCACAGGCCCCAGCCGTGGAGCCTGCAGTGTATGTGTGGTAACACCATGTCTGTGCCCCTGCTCACCGATGCTGCCACTGTGTCTGGAGCTGAGCGGGAAACGGCCGCGGTAAGGGTCCTCCCCTGCCCTCGGCAGCCCCTGGCCCAGCCCCCGGCCCAGCCGGGGAAACTGGCTGGAAGGGGTGTGGGGAAAAATGGAGGTGGCACAGTTGAGAAGGGAGCAACCTGAAGCCAGGCAGTAACGGGTTAATAGCCTGTTTGGCTGCTACCACGGTCCCCCCCCCCCCCCCCCAGTCCTTGGCGGCGCAGGGGGATGGCCCGAAGTTGGGACCGAGGGGGAATGAGAGCAGGGTAGTGGTGACTGCCCTCTTCCCACGTCCCCATGTCTGACCCTTTTTCAGGTTATTTTTTTACATGGACTTGGAGACACAGGGTGAGTGAGCTGGAGGGGGAGGGGGTACTTCCTTGGGAAGGTGGGGAAGGGCCCAGGGGGCAGGGTTAGGGGGCCTGCGCCCTCCCTCTCCCCCTCCCCACATGGGTGCCGGTTTTCCCTTCCTTCCTAAAGGCACAGCTGGGCTGACGCCCTCTCCACCATCCGGCTCCCTCACGTCAAGTACATCTGTCCCCATGCGTGAGTGTCACCCCTGCAAGGGATCCGCTGGGGGGTGGTCCTGTGGTCTCGGGCCTGCTCTGTCCTGTCAGCTGCATCCTGCGGCCTGAGCCCAGGGCAGTTGGAGGTGCCATTTTCAGCCTTTACTCCCGTGGAGCTCGCAGCCCCAGCCCCCAGCCCTAGGCCCTCCTAGACCAGGGATCTCCTAGAACCAGGAGATCCTGTGCCCCTTCCCCCAAGTACTCACCCACTGAGCTGGAACCCCGTCACACCGAGTATCAGGCTCTGCTTCTCTGCTGGTGCCCCAACCACAGCCTCCAGCCCCACGTGGCAGGTTGCCTGGCAACACCTTAAACACAGCCCTTGCCTGCTGGGAGGGGCCCCCCAGGGGCTACTCTGCCCCCTCCTGGCTCTCTGCTGTGGCTTCCACATCCCTTCTGCGCATGATGGCCCCTCTCGCTGCCCCTCCCCAGACCCCGGATCCCTGTGACACTCAACATGAAGATGGTGATGCCCTCCTGGTGAGTGGGAGTGGGGGGCGTGGGGGGAAGGATGGGAGCTGAGAGAGCTGTAGGGGGCTGGCCAGGGTCTTCCGGGAGCCAACACCTCTCCTCCCCCAGGTTTGACCTGATGGGGCTGAGTCCAGATGCCCCAGAGGACGAGGCTGGCATCAAGAAGGCAGCACAGAACAGTAAGGCCCCAGCCCCTCCTCAGCATCTGCCCTCCCCCCCTTCCATCCCCCCCCCAACAAAAGCATTAGGCAGTACCTGGCTCCCTTCCCTGGGCCGCCCAGCAGCTTTTCCCCTACCCAGTCATGTCCCTTCCCCCCAGTCAAGGCCTTGATTGAGCACGAGATGAAGAATGGGATCCCTGCCAATCGAATCGTCCTGGGAGGCTTTTCACAGGTGAGGGGAGAGAGAGGGGGTGGGGGGTGGCAGGTGAGCTGTGCCCTCATGACCTCTAATTCTCTCCTCCCTCTAGGGTGGGGCTCTGTCCCTCTACACCGCCCTTACCTGTCCCCACCCTCTGGCTGGCATTGTGGCATTGAGCTGTTGGCTGCCTCTGCACCGGGCCTTCCCCCAGGTGAGTGTCTCCATGACCCCACTCCTGCCCTTTGAGTCTCCTTGTGGCCTGGGGCTTGTGCCGAAGCATCGGCTTTGCCCTGGAGGTCTTTTCTGGCCCACAGGCAGCCAATGGCAGTGCCAAGGACTTGGCCATCCTTCAGTGCCATGGGGAGCTGGACCCCATGGTTCCAGTACGGTTTGGGGCCCTGACGGCTGAGAAGCTCCGCTCTGTTGTCACACCCGCCAGGGTCCAGTTCAAGACTTACCCCGGTGTCATGCACAGCTCCTGTCCTCAGGTCAGTGATGAGGGGCCCCGGCCTACGCCCAGCCCTCTCCCTCCTCCCTCCACCTGGGAGCCTCTCACAATCCCTCCTCACCCCCAGGAGATGGCAGCTGTGAAGGAGTTCCTTGAGAAGCTGCTGCCTCCTGTCTGACCGGAGGCAACAGCCCCCAGCGCAGCCCCCCAGCTCTTGGGGGTCCAGCACGCGCAGCACCATCTTGGATCTGAGCCGGTCGAGCCCCTGTCCCCACCATCCCTGACCTGTCCTCTTCCCATAGGCCTCTGGGGCAGGCAGGCCGAGGCCTGGCCAGGCCTTCCTTCCTGGCCTCAGCCACCTGGCTGTCTGCAGCAGGGGGTGGGCCGCCCACTTCTCCCGTGTCCCTGGAGGCGGGCCCCCCTGGCAGCAGTATTGGAGGGGCTGTAGGCAGCGGGAGAAAGGGGCCCAGCCGCTGACCCACTCACTCAGGACCTCACTCACTAGCCCCGCTTTGGGCCCCCTCCTGTGACCTCAGGGTTTGGCCCCACCTACCACTCCACCCCCAAGTGATTCTGCCCAGATAATCGTGGGTCTCTCCTCCTTCCCTCCAGCTGCTTCTCAATCATGAATGTGTCCATGGCCCTGGGCCCCCGTGCTGCTGTGGGCTACCTGCTCCTGGGCAGGGGTGTTGGTGAGGGGGCAGAGTCCTTCAAAGGGGGCCTTCCCTTAGCCTCCCCAACGCGGGGGCTGGGCCCTGCCTCCCTCTTACCCTGCTCCCCCGCGGGCCTGGAGCCTGCAGGGCTGGACTGAGGCTCAAGGTCTCCCCCAGCTGTCCCACCCCCACGTTGTCCCCACTCTAGGGCCAGGGGAGAGGTGGGGGAGGAGTTGTGTCTTGTCTTCTGTCTCCATGTGGTTTTGGGTGTTTTTCTTGTTGTGTCCTGGATTCCGATAAAATTAAATTGCTTCAACTCTCAGGCTGGATGATTCTATCCCAGGGGTAGAGTGATTGCGTGCAAGAATCTGCCCCATTGTTAGAAAACTTTTATTTTAAATACTTCGTAAAGCGCTTTCAGAGCAGTATAAATTAGTGCCTGTCTCGGGACCCTTGCTCCCCCATTCACTTCTGGTGGTCCTGATGGGTTCCTGGACGCTGCTGCAGAGAGGAGTTAGGGATCTCCCCCCCCCCCCCCAACTCCTGGTCAGTGGAGCCCTTGGCTTCATGCCTGGTGGGCTGAGAAGGCCCAGCCTGGGTTTGAGGTAGGGGAGGCTGAGGCCCCTGGGTTCCCCCCAGAGGCTGGAGAGCAGCCAGTTTCTCTCTCCTTTTCTGGTGTGTGGTAGGGGAGCGTCTCAGGCCTGCGCACCAAAGCCTGAAGGATTCTGCTTCTGCCAGCGCCACAGATCTTCACCTGTGATGGGGGGAGGGGTGGAGTGAGGGTCCACATCGGAACGCAGGACCGCCACCCTCTCGGGCAGCCCTGGGTGGGCGTGCTCAGACCCAGGCAGCCCCCACCCAGCCCAACTCCCTCTCGGGTCAAGCCAGCACCCAAGGTCAGGGATGGGGGCGGAAACTCACACATCCTGTCCAGCCCTAAGGCTGCTGTCCAGCCCAGCTCCTTGAGGGCCAGGCTGGGGTTGGCATAACAGGCAGCCACATCGCCTTCCCGCCGTGCCACCACCTTGTATGGGATCTGCAAGAGACGAAGCGGCTGTAGCTTAGCTGAGCCGGCCCTGGCCTCGCCCAGCCAGCTGCTGACCAGGCTCAGAAACGCAGGTGTAGGCACCCAGCACTCAGGCAGGCAGGCAGAGGAGCTGGGCAGTGCTGGGACGCCCATCAGGGAGGCTAGTGGGAGGGGCCCAGGTCGTCTCGAAAGTCAGGGCAAGGCGGGGGGTGTCGACGTGGGGCTGGGGTACAGCCGGCCTACCTTCTGCCCAGAAGCCTTCTCCATGGCCTGGACCATCTGTAGAACCGAATAGCCTGTACCCGTGCCCAGGTTGTAGATCTGCCCAGGAGAGGAGAACGGGTGGTGGAGCGGGTTGGACTAACTACCCCCTCTGGACCCCCATCTCCCTCGCCAGCCTCGCTTCTCCCCTCTCCCCCTACCCGGCAGCCACACTGCTCCTTCAGCTTCCTCAAGGCTGCGATGTGGCCCTTGGCCAGATCCACGACGTGGATGTAATCCCGGACACCTGCGGAGGAGGCGGGGGTGGGTGTTCGGTACCGTGTCTGTGGGACCGCTCTCTCCCCCCGGTCCTCGGCTCACCTGTGCCGTCCTCCGTGTCATAGTCGTTGCCAAAGACATTCAGTACCTCCCGTCGCCCGATGGCCACCTGGGGTGGAGGTCAGGTCAGCTCTTCCCAGGCCCTCGGCACCAGCTGTGACCTGACCTTCCCCTTCCCCCTTACCTGGGAGACGTAGGGCATGAGGTTGTTGGGGGTGCCCTGGGGGTCCTCGCCGATGCAGCCCGAGGCATGGGCGCCTGTGGGGTTGAAATACCGCAGCAGCACCGCATTCCAGGCCTGCGGGACCAGGTCAGCTGGGCGGGGGGCAGAACCCAGAGCTCTTTACCTGCACCCCCCCGCCCCCCGCCTGGAAGGTCCCCCCACCCGGGGCTGTGATGTGGGGCAGGTCACTGCCACTTCCAGAGTCCTCCCTTCCTCCTGGGTGGGCGGTGCCTGGGATTCCACCCTCAGGTTCATAGGAGGCCTTGAGTCCATGAGTGGGACCAGGGCTGGGTCGGGGGGGGCGGCTCACCTTGTCTGCCTGGCACAGGTCCCGGATCATTTCCTCGATGAAGAACTTGGACTTGCCGTAGGGGTTGGTACAGCCACCTGTGGGGTGGGCCTCATCCAGGGGCAGGTACTGTGGGTTCCCGTACACAGTGGCTGAGCTGCTGAACACCAGGTTCTTCACCCCGTGGGCCCTCATGATCTGGCCACGGAGGGGAGGCGTCAGTGGCCTCTGCCTCCCACGGTATTCCCACCCCCTTCCTCCTTCACTGGTGAGAGGGGCTGAGGTTCGGGCGCTCCTGTTTACAGATGGGGGGACCGAGGCAGAGAGGTAGAGAGACGTGTACCGTTTTAGAATGGTACAGCTTGGGCCCCGCCCGCCTCTCCCCTCCAGGCCCCTCAGCCACTGTGTCTGGCATGGCCCGCCTGGCTGGGGTCTCCTGGTGTCTGGGACCTTGCCGCTCAGCTCACCTCCAGCAGCTGGATGCTTCCGGTCAGGTTAACTCTGTAATAATCCAGAGGCTTCTGCACCGACTCTCCCACGGCCTTGAGGCCCGCAAAGTGGATGACTGCTGTGAAGCTGTGCTGCAGGGGCGAAGCCAGGGTCAGAGGTCACTTTAGAGGCCGGGCCCTCGGCGGTGCCCCCGGCCTGCCTGCCCAGCACCTACCTTCTTAAAGAGACGCTGTAGGGCTGCCTGGTCCAAGATGTCCATCTCCTCAAACTCCACAGAGCGGCCTGTCAGCTCCTGAACCCGCTGCAGGCTCTCGGGCATGGAGCCCCTTCCTGGTTGAGCACAGGGAGGCCATCAAAAGAGGACGTGGGTCCTGGGCTCCCAAGAGACGAGACAGACAGACAGACAGACATACACACGTATCCACAGGAGGCGGCGGTGGAACCCCCGGTTTTCCTTCCACCCCCGGCCCCGTGCTCACCCCGGACGGCATTGTGGAAGTTGTCGACGACCACGGGCAGATAGCCGGCCTCCAGCAGCTCCAGCACCGTGTGGCTGCCGATGTAGCCAGCCCCGCCGGTCACCAGCACCTTCTCTGCCATTGTACCTGGCCCAGAACACAGAGCGTCCGGCTCACGTCGGAGGCAGTACTGTGTCCTCGTGAACAGGGTGGTTCTGGAACCAGCCCCGCTCCACGTCTGGAGACCACCTCTTTCTGGCCATAGGCCTTGGAGGTCACTTGTCCTCTCCTGGCCTCACTCGCCATCTCTAGAAGTTGGAGCTTGTAACTGTACAAACGTCATGTGGTAGCGGGAGGGCTGAATGAGGTGACTTGAAAGGCCTGCCACACCGCACGGGTGGGAGACTGATGTGCAGGCACCACAATTTCTAGTCCCAATTTACCTGGGACTGAGAAGAGGAAACCTAAAGCCTCCCAGGTGCCTGGGGACTAAGCAGTCGTGGCCAGCAGGAAACATGGCAGCAGCACCGGGACTCCCAAGAGCCCAGGAAGAGGTTCTGTCTGCTCAAATTCCGGCCTTCCCAATCCCTCTGCTATCACTGGGTGTAAACTGGCCAGTGATTAATACCTCCTGCTCTGGGTAGCTCCCCTGACTCCCTCTCCCTCAGTCAGCTGGGACGAAGCAGGAAATAAACCAAACGGCCCCAGGGTGGGGTGCTTTGCCAGGCAGGCTGAGCCCAGCGCTGGAGCTGCAGCACCAAGGTCCTGGAGTGGGCCCCACCCCACCCCAGGTCAATCAGGCTGGCTCAGCCTCTACCGACGCATGCCAGGGCCAGCTGGGTCGCTGCCCAACTTTAGGCGGCGCGGAGCTGGGCGGTGTAGACGTGGCCCTGGTCCCGAATCTACTGCCAGGTGTGCACCTCCGCCCTGAACAAACTGCGGGTAGAGTTGGGGAGGGGGGAGGAGGCTCCAGACACTCAGGTCTTTCATTCGGTGCGGCCTGGCCCGCAGCCGCCTTCCTCCTGGCTGCCTCAATCCCCATTCTGGGCTCATCCGCTCCCACCCACTTGACTGAGCGCTTCCTGCGTGCCAGGCTCTGTACCGGCCACTTCTGCATTATTTTCCTGGATTCCCCCAACATCCCGTTGAGCCAAGTGTTATGGCTGGCACTTTACCGAGAAGGATACTAAGGTCAGAGAGGTTAAGTAATTTGCCTGAGGACACACAGCTGTGACAACCCGGCTAGAATCCGGATCTCCAGGCTCACAGCCCGCTAACCTCGCGCCAAGGAGTTCACCCTTCCCCCTCACCACCGCTTCCAGCTGGACTTTGCTCCGGACCCCGAGGCCGCCCCCACCCCCACCTCGCCGTGCGGAAGCCTGAAAAGTGGTCGCGGATGAGCCCCAGGGGGCAGGAAGGCTGGTGAGGCCAGCCTCGCCCCGGACCGACGGGTTTACCTCGGTCGGCTGTCGCCGCCTCGGTTTTCCCAGTCTGCAAAATGGAGGGGAGGAGGAGGTGAGCGGCGGGCTGGGATTTGGGCCGTGGCTCCGAAGGGGCCGAGCTCGGAGTCTCCGGGTCGGGAATGAATGAACCCGGGCCGCCCCAGCCAAGGTGGCGGGGGCTGAGAGCTGCAGGGGCCCGCCCTAGTGGGACTCTACCCAGGACGCTGCCCGGACCCCTGAAGCCCTCCCTCGCTCTCCGCAGACCACCCAGCCCCTCGCGAGCCCGCCAGGCCCCCTCCCACCCATTCGCCTCGCGAACCTGCTCCAGACCGCGCTCCCCGCGCTGCCTCCAGCGGTGCCGCCTCCCGCACCCCGCGTCCGGGTCACTTTAAGAGCCGACGACCCACCTGGTCCCGCCCCCTCCACGCCCCCAAGGAAACGTGTCGCCGAGGAGCGCGCTACGGGGCCCCGGGAGGACCAAAGGCGCTGTGGCATCAAGGTGCCTGCGCGGCGCGGCGCGGCTCGGGGCGGGGGCTGGGAGCCGGGAGGCAGGCGGCGCGCTCGGGAGCTGTCTCTAGGCGGGAGCCGCAGGCCGAGGGCGGAGCGGACGAGCCCGGCTCCGCGCTCCCCGCGGCCTCTCCAGCCTTTCCGTACCCGCCGAGCCCCGCAGGAAATCAGCGACGGCGAGCAGCAGAGGCAGCCGGGGGGCGGCGCTGACCGAAGAAAGCTGGTTCTGGGAGGTCTGGTTTGCAACCCCCCGCCCCCGAGAGCCGGGGAAGCTGAGGCCCAGGGGGAGATCGCGCGGCCGACTGCGCTCAGCCCCCACGCGAACCGCCGGGGATGGTCGGTCGGTCCGCACTCCGCCTACCAGAGTCGGCTAGAAAATGATGTGG